TGATTGCCTTATGGCGCATCTTACACACAGGCCGGGACTCGTTCCCGTCGCGGTGGCCCCAGAGGTTCCAGTACGATGTGGGATGTTTCAAGAACGTGACCTTGCAGAACCTACACTTGAAACTGCGACCCTTTATATTGAATGAATCAAATGCAAGACAACATCAGCTGTGCTAAACAAAAATCGAGAAAGATGTAAAGAAAAGAGATAACGGGGTAGATGGAAGTCAACAATTGAGCGAGTAAGTGTGAAACTCTTACCACTGGAGGCTCGAAAAACTTGAGGAGTTCTTGAACGTGATCGCTTCGAACTTCCATGTAGCCAGGTTCTTTCGTTCCAACAAACTCGATATCCGAATCTTGATCTAAGTTAACCTCTTCGGGCACCTCATAGGCCTACAGATCATAGAACAAGTTAGGTCAAATCGACTGTAAGTAGTAGATATTAAGATTAAACTTACATCCGTATTGGCCTTCTTGCTTGGTCGGACTGAAGGTGAGCCACCCTTGGAATTGCCTGATGGTGATCTTGCTCGCTTACTGGTTGAAGAACGAGCCTAGAAAAATTGATATCAGTTTCGAGTGGTTGATAGAGTCATCTTGACTCATCTTACTTTGCCTTTCGCATTCGGTTTGGGTGCAGCTGGAACCGGAGCTTTGCTGACCTTCTTCTTGGTTGGCGGTCGAGGTGATGCTGGCCGATCAGCAAGAGGATGAGATTGGTCACCATCCGAAGAAGGAACTATCAGAGTGGTCCGTGAATCTGATGGGGTCGCCACAAATCCTGGCTGTGATCGTGCAGGGCTTGGTGGCCTAAGAGTTCTCGATCTAGAACTTGGTAAACTAGGAACCTGAAGACTAGGAGTATTGGAGATGGATTGGGTAGAAGGGGTTTTTGAGATAGCCATCGATATATAAGATATGAGCAAAAGGTTACAATTATGATGGAAGTAATAACTGTTTGAGTGGGTAACGAGAAAAGAACAAGTAAGTATCTTTGATTGAATCAATCAAAGATGAGGGATAGAATCTCACTGACCAAAAGATCACTACTAATACAACTTGGTAGTCGATTGGACCACATTTTGGCCCTCGAAATGTATTCCAGGGGTTGTGTTCCATTGGCCGTGGAGGTGGTGATGGACTAGGACCAATTAAGACAGGTGAAGTGGTCATCTAAGATCAAAAGAGGTGAAGGTGGGTGGCGTGAGGCGTCGATCTAGTGAAGGGGTGGGGTGACAACCCTCTACCCACCCCTTGGATCATGATGTCCGCTATATATCGGAGAACCCGATGTCCCGGGGCATTGCGTAGCGGTCCTTTTGCTATGGAAAAGTCTGGGGCTTGAGTTCGGTGCGCAGTTTCCGCTATGGACTGCGGAGGTCATAGCGGGTTCCAAATCCGCTCCGAAATCGCTCCGAAACAGCTATCTAGAGCGGAGCGATTCGGGTATTGGCCGCGATATTCATCACTTGTATGGACTTATTTACTGAAGATTTATGTGAAGGTTTATTAGCCTCTTGCTCGAGGCACGCTGTAGAACTCCTACGCAGTGTAGCGTAGGCTGAGCCGGAGAGGGGAAGAATCACCACTTGTGAGAGCGGATGAAACTACAGGCACTGTGAAGCTGCCCTCGTCCTTCGAAAATGATTTCGAATTTAAGATGAGGCTTCTCAATTTCACTTCTTTGTCTTTTAAGGCTTTCCAAAACCTAGTTTACACCTCGCGGTTGGATGTGCAGCGTTTGGCGGAGTCTAACAATACTACACACAACTCTACACAAGTTTGCAGTACTGAGATATGTGAACTCAAGATTGAGTGTTGAATGTTACGCTGGTGTAACACAGCTGTACAGGACTGGAATAAATTCCTGAACCTGACTCGACCTGGCCTCGACTTGGATCAAGAGGCAGGTTTGGCGAAACTTGATGTAAATCACACAAAGTGTAATTATGATAGTAAAGAGGGGGAATGGGTTTTATTGACGGCGGGGTTTTATCCGGAGGGTAGAGTACTCGGACTCGGGGCCAAATTTCGATTTTTGAGGTAACAAAATATAACAATTAACACCGCGGGAATCAATAGGTGTGAAACCCGATTGGGGAAAGTTGCGGTGACCGGGTCCGCAACTTTCTCCAATTGCGAATTGCGTTCGCAATTCGTTCGCATTTGGTTCGCTGTACACCCTTGAGACCGCATACAAATCAATTTATCTGTCTTGATACAATGTGTCAGAGGATGTATTAAGGTTGTGTTTGATTTCCTTTCAGAAGAACTGGTTTGAACTTTGGTCCAGGGTGATCTCAATCAATTTGCAAGTCATCAAATGTAATAGAGACGCTACAAGATGCAACAAATGCTTTTAAATGCTTTTGCAGTATGCATTACCTTTGCTTTTGCATAGGTCAACACTGATAGGAGATGCCCGTGCTCAGGACCTTTGTTTTGAATAGCTTCGAGGAATCGAGAGATTTCAACATCACTGCTTTACTTACTTTTGGTGACCGGCACTTGTGGTGACTGTTCCGGGGCATGTTGCAAGCGATTAGATCTGCAAAGAGGATATCAGGTGGTTGATTATGTACAGGGCAGTAGGCTTGAGTAAGCGAGCAAAGTCAGACACGACTTATGAAGTGTGCTTAACACTTTTGCAAACTTGCGAAAGTGTACATATTGACATTAGTGGCAAGCACATCAAAGAAAAGAAGCCGTGAATCAATACTTTGTCAACTGGCAAGATACAGTTGACCAAACCGTCTCTTCCAAAAAGGAATTGAATGCGACCTGATCATCCTCTAGGCTCTGACACATAAGACGGGTAAATGATAAATCAGCGCTGCCGGCATCTGGATTTATTCCTGTACTTGTGCGGTCTCGAGGGCGTACAGCGAACCAAATGCGAACAAATTGCGAACGCAATTCGCGATTGGAGAAAGTTGCGGACCCAGTCACCGCAACTTTCCCCAATCGGGTTTCACACCTATTAATTCCCGCGGTGTAAGTAAAAATAAGACCTTTAAAATATAAGACTCTAGACACCAATAACCAAGCTCAGCAAGATAACAAACAATAATTGGACTTGATAACACTCAATGGCAATGATAATAACAAGTGAAGTAAACTCTTTCTTTGTCTCTGTTATCAAAGAAAATCTAACTAACACAACAAAAAAAACTAATTGATTTACTGCAGTAATTTTAAAGGAAACTAACAACAGACTCGATCATAAAAACACTAGCCATTTACTCGATGACACACTTTATTATAACACACACACAAAAACAAATCCGGACATACACATTCATCCACAGATGGATTGATGGATTCCCCTCTCAGCAACCCTTCCCTTTATACCTTTCCTCGATCCCAAACCCCAACCCGATCATTCACATCTCAACCCCAACCTGCTTTTACTCCAACCGATCATTCTCAAAGTTGTTTTATCATCTCTTCTACTATGTAAGTGTTTTCTCTTCCTTCTCTTATTTGTTTTCTTGTATTGTTCATCATCTAATATTGATTGTTAACTTTTCGATCTCCAGCTCTGATTTCATTCTGCTTTAACTATGATTTCTCTATAGGGATTGTACCCCAAAATCGATCATCCTATCAATGTCATCTTCATCATACTCTATCCAAATTCGATCTCAAGTTCTGATTTCAATCTAGTCTCAACCTTTAAACCTCAAAGTGTAACTTTCTTTTCTCTTTCAATTTCGATTTTGATCTTTGATTTAGATATGAACTTTGGTGAGTCTTGGCTTCATCTCTTCATAGATGCAACTATAATCAAATCGATCCCAACCCCTTTCTAACTACCACCTTCAAAATTTGTCATCAAACTTTCATATCTGATTTGTTTCTTATTTCACATCCCACTAACACTTTCTAATTGTTTTTTTTTAGGTATATACCCCAAAATCGATCCTCATGTCAAGTATGTGGACACTCTTCAATTAATATATAACTTCAATTCATTCTTAATCTTATTCTTGACACTAACACTACTTGATTTTCGATTTTGGCCTGTACATTAGGTGTTTATTTAATGCATCTTATTGTCTTATTTAAAGCTTCCTTGTAATTATTTTGTCTTTGTTTCATATGTATCTTCAAATTTGCCTTGTTATAAGTTGTAATCAAACAATAAAAGCTATAATGAATGAAATGAATAATACTAATAATCTGATTGAGAGTGCCATTGTGAGAGAATGGGTTGAATATTGACTCTGTTCTCTATGTGTTTCATCTTATGGAGACCTTTTGTTGATTTGAAAGTTAGAACACAGAACATCCATGTATATATATTGATGATGAAAGTAACTAGAAAAATTATGAGAGTTGAGTATAAAGAGATCCCAGCAACATCCTTGAAGCAACATCCTTGAATGACCTGAAAAGCCTTGAGTATATTTCTTGAAGGAAATCTAGATTGTAGATGTTTTGTAAGATTGAAGATTGAACCCTTCTGACATTTTGATTTCCACAACGCTGAGCTAGATTCGTCCATGGATAGAGTAACTTCATAGAGACACGTACACCAAAGGGGAGATGTAAATGAAATAAAACCCCAAGAAGGATCCCATGGAGATCCGAATGGGAAGAAACACCGAAGTAGATACACAGGTTTCAAGGGAAATGGTCAAGAGATATCTCTTTCCCGTCTTCCCATTTTCCTTTCCACTCCATCTCATTTATCTCTTGAATTTCCCTTTTTACCTTACTCTATCCAATAGTTACAATTATTATTCACAAGTATAACTATAACTTATCTATAAACCTTTACTAACAAAATTTTCTTTATAACTCATTGATAAACCTAATTTTCCTGAAGTAATTCTCATCAAATCCAATCACCTAATTACCAAACATCGTTATCAACTTACATATTCTATCACAACCTGTCTACATACAATTATCCGAGTTGAACTTATCCAAATCCACCAATCAGAGACATCTAGAAATTCATTGACATACATCCCCCATTACAATTCGACAAGGATGACTAAGAACAGTTCAACCACGTTGAAGGCGATTCGGGCGAGCCGACGAGTCCAAGGTCTAGAAGTTAGCCCCAAAGGAGGAACAGGTGCCTTAGGAGAGAACAAAGCGGGACCTTCAAACTCCAAACCGAACCTCATTTCAACTAACAAACACCAAGAGGAAGATAACGATCACATTAAGCCAGACGACAACGCAGACGGATTAGGAGCCCAGTCAGAATTCAAAGAGAAGTGTCAACCAGATCCATTCAAAGAGAAGCGTCAACCAGATCCCACACAAAGCCAAAATTACTCCAACTTCATCGGAAACGTACCAATCCCTTTCCCAGCAGAGACGAACCCACTTTTCAACGCGACAATCAGAGTCCCAAAAGGCAAAGAACGGGCAGAACAATCCTCTTCCAATATAGACGACTTAGCAGGTGACTTTGTACATGAAGACTACAAATTGGTAGGAGCCTCCGACAATTTAGAAGTCAAAGACTTAGAAGAACACCAAGCATCTTCCCCATCTTTAGGATCTTCAAACGGAGAGGACGGACCAGACATCTCAAGCTCAAGCTCAGACTCCGACAACGGAGACAGCGAAGAGGATTCATCATCAGAGAGCGAGTCAGAAGACTCAGAAAGAGAAGTGAAGAAAGGTAAGCAAGTGTATACATCTTATAATTGATCATAAATAACCCTCAAAGCCCTTTCGTAATCTACACTCCATAACCCTCCCTTCGAAATAAAACAAACTCTACTCTCTGCATACTCCCTACCCCACCCTTAGGAGAAAAAAGAACTGCTCTTAATACCATCCCCATTCCCCTTTTGATCTCGTTCAGTGACGAATGATTCTCTCATCCGTTTATATTACTCGGTGATGATTGATTCTCCCGGAAGCTCCCAAGAAGGGTAGAGCGCCCCTTTGAATAAGAGGGAAGGGATTTAAACATATAAAGAAATCTGCCTTTATGGTGTTAAAAAACATAAAGACCTGATCTGGCTTAAAAAATGCAGAAGCTGCGAAAGACACATCACATAGTCAACAAATAAGACTAGAGAGCAATCAACAATTAACTTGAAAAAAATGGTTCTCCTCCTTTTGAAAACAGATAAGAAACGGAAACGCACATCAAAGTTAAAGAAGAAACTAGAAGACGCGAAAAACGAAATCAAACAATTGGGAAAGATAGCAAATATCAAACCATCAGAAGCGGCTAAGAAATCTAGTAGACGAGCAAAGAAGACGTCGGACAAAAAGAAACGTAGCAAGAAGAATGGAATACAAGTAAACATAGGTGTCATTTCAAAGTCAGACTTGATTCAATTACAACCGTTTTGGAGAAAACAAATGAAGAAGTTAGAGTCCTCCATCCCTTTGACAGTATTTGATCAAAGTTTCGCGCTAGCAGACAAAGAAGAGTACAAAAGACAACATCATTTGTCATCGTCGAAGACTTCTAAGAACAAAGGTTTAGAGGCGCAATCCGAGTTCAAAATGACTTACGGGGAGTGGACAGAAAACATCAGTCTGTTCAAACGTTACTTGATTCAACACAAGCAAAAAGAAGTAGCAGAAAGACTCAACTTTCACATCAAGAACGTGAAGCAAGTCAAGTAAGTAACTCTGACTACAATAAATAGATAAAAAAGACTGACAGTAGAACGGGGGAACAGGAGATCGACAGAGTGTTGGATGACAGCCCTACGCTATGATATACTTTGCAGACGACATATCTTTGTGGAAAGAATGGACAAAGAACCGATAAAAGATATTGGTACATTCATGAAGAAATATGAAGACAAGGCCAAAGATAAGTCGTTAAACTTTGGAGAGGCGAACGGAGGTGAAACTAACCCTTACGCGAAGGGAGGTAAACTCGAATGGAGACACCGTGAGACTGGTTTGTCATTGTGAGTAAAGAAGAGTTCATAAGAATAGAAGAAGAAATTGACCTAAATGATATGCATCACAGTAACCACAATTCTTCCACCGACAACCAACAAACAGCATCGAGCTCTAGAGATTTCAACAACAATTTTCATAGGAAACAAAGAGGCCCACGCCCAAACAGAACTTTCTCATACGGTGCCAAACCTGGGTTCAACCAGTACCACAAAGGACCAAGCTTTAGCCACAACGTCCCGTTTCATCAGAATCAGCTACCGACAATCCACATGGGATTCCCAAATCAAGGACAACCAAACTCGAACCAAGCACCAATGAACGTGAGCCTTGCCTCAATTCCAAACGTCACTACAAATAGCCAAGCACAGCCAAACAATTACAACAATTACCAAGGAAGAGGAGTAAGAGGTACTTGGAGAGGTACTAGAGGAGGAGTAGGAAGAGGTACGGGAAGACAAGTGCAGAATGATACGTTGTAGAACTCCTACGCAGTGTAGCGTAGGCTGAGCCGGAGAAGGTAAGAATCACCACTTGGAAGAGCGGATGAAACTATGGTGCTTTTACGCTGCCTTCAACCTTAAGTTTGTTGCAGTTCGAAAAGAACTAGAACAACTCTTAACAATTTTCTCTCCCCACGAATTCCTCCCGTAACACAATTTTAAGATTTACAAAAGATCCGCAAGGTTTGCCGGATTCCGATGATACCCCACACAACTCTACACGACGTTGTGGTGTAAAACTACGTTGCTTTCGATGTACACGGCTAGGTAGCACATGTAACAGTGTACAGGGCCGAAATGTAATTTCGGATCCCCGACTCGACCCGGCCTCGACTTGGATCAAGAGGCGGGTTGTTGGTTTTTGTTTTAGTCTTGAATCCGACGACTTCACGACTAGGTTGCGACACAGCTCAGCAACTGAAACAACACTACAATAGAACGATAAAGCAACACTGCCGACTTATTCCTAACAACCCTTTCTAACAATGGTAAACTTATTCTTTTCTTTCTTTCACTCTCTTTCTTTCAAACAGATAATAAAAGACTAACAAACAAAAAACATGCTTTAAACTTTTCAACTCTGAAATAGGCTCTTCAAGCACTCGATCACACTTTTAAGACGCACGCACACAGATTCTCACTTAGACTCAGACACACTGCACTTTTAACACACACAGGAACACTCTCCCCCCGATACTACACAAGATACGATGCCATACTCCCTTCTTATATCTTTCCGCTGCTCAAACTCCGACCGATGCCTCCTATTCCCCCCGATCAATTCCGTCCGATTGCTTTCTTTTTCTTCGCTCCGACCGATTCTGTTTGTTATTTAGCCCCTATTCGCCTCGATAGTTTTCTATTGAAACTCCTATCCAACTCAATTGTTTTCTATTTAAAACCCAGGTATGTTTCTTTGTTTGATTTTATTTTATTTTCTTTTGTTTTGTTTTCTTTTGATTCAACTAATCTTTCTTTTCTTACTCTGTATGCTGACTGCTTGGCTTTAGATCGATCACGAGATCTTTTGATTCGGTTCCGTTACCTCCGATTGATACGGATCGATCTAATTCAAGTTTAGGTAAGTTTTCATTTTTTTTTATCGTTGTTATCTTGTCATTCTTTTCTTTTTGTACTCTTCTCTACTAGTGATCCTGACTGTAGTTTATCTTTGTCTTTATTTTGTTTTCTTCTTTGTTTTCTTCTTCTTTAACTTATCTTATGTTTTGTTTTGTTTCATATACTTTATTCATATCTTTATTTATTTGCTTGTCTTGACTTTTCTATGTTGATGAATTGTATAGTAGTTGTCCTTGAAAAATTTGTTTAAATAAAACTAAATAAAAATGAATTAAATTTAACTAAAAAAAAACTTCTATACTCGAGTGATTGTGAGTAAAAAAAGTGAGCTCTTTGAGCAAAATGCTGAGTCTTTAAGGCTTGTTATAGTGAGGTTCTGTGCGTATAAAAGGAGGAGGTTTGGAGGGTATTCTGCTTTCCACAACGTGAGTGTAAAATCATGGACATGTTCCGGATTTCATTTAACTACCATGCTCTTTAAGCTATGCCAATATATTTCCCTACATCAAAATTTGTTTCAAAGTCACTCCTTAGTTAAATTACTTTCATAATTCTATTGTAACGCTTTTAAGCTTTAGAAGTTTTGACACACTCCTTTAATTATCTTGTACCCATGAAAACTTGAAATGAATTCTTATGATACATTTGCTTCGTATTAGGAATGACACGGAGAATGAAAGAATTGAAATAAAAGAGATAGAAACCAAAAATTCAAGAGAACAATCAGAAGAGAAACTAACTTGGCCAACTAAAGCAAAATGTAGCATGGTGATAGAGAAATGGGAAGAAGAGCTAAAGAAATGCAGCTTACTACCATTCTACGATTTCGTACTAGATGGATTCCGAGATGGTTTCGACCAAGGAATTCCAGAACATGCAATAGGAGGAATGAAATATTATTGTCCACCGAATCACAAATCAGCTCAATTAGTGAGAGACAAGATCGAGAAGAGCATAGAAGAAGAAGTATTAGCAGGAAGGATGATAGGTCCATTCACGAAAGAAGAAGTAGCAAAACACTTTAAATTCTTTAAGTCAAGGGTCAAGCCCAATGGGAGCTGTAATAAATGGTGACGGATCATTTAGGCCAATAAACAATCTATCATTCCCGAAAGACAATCCAACAATACCTAGTGTAAACTCAGGACCCTGGAAAGCCCCTATATACCCGCCTAATTGGGTATGTAGGAATTGGCCTTTTTGGGTAAAAATGGTCCTTATGTTCTGTGTAGGAATTCTAAAAATTTGAAAAAAAAAGTCACACAGGAGCCTTATTTTGTATGTAGGAATATGTCAAAAAGTGTGGAAAAAAAAATTAGGTTTCTTACACATTAGGTAGGAAAGAGGGTTCTCAGGGCCACCAGGCTACCCACTTCAATACATAAGGTGAGTAGCAATGATCATCGAGTCACAATGAAACCTGATGTTATTGTGTATACATACCAATCATGATAGTATTGAGTTCGAAGCTCAGGTAAGACAATTTTTTGCACATTTTTATGTAAAAGGGTGTGGAAAAATGTCATATTATGACAGTTGATGGTCATTGAAATCGAGATGTCTGACAGTCTGGCATGGGTCAGCAAGAAGGTTGTTTCAACCAGTTTCAACCGAGTCCAAACATTTGAAATGGCCTGAAAGTTGCTGAAACAGCTTGATTCTGCTCGATCACAACATTTTTTTTGTTTGATCTTGATAGTTTTCGTTGATATTAGACACAATTACTATATCTCGTGTAGCAAAAGGAAAAGGTAATGAACGAAAGAAAAAAAACAACCACCAGGATCCTGTGGCTTCTGATCACGCCAATGCAAATGGAGCCACCAAATTGGACCCTCGGACATGTAGTAAATTGGTAGCCATCATGCTGAAAAACTCTGAGCAGATGGACAAGGCTCTGGATCGCTTACATCGATGGAACATTCATGTAAAGCTTGACCTCAATTGGATTGCAAAAAATACATCAACAACTCTCGACATCGCAACACAAACACTTTATACAAGTGGCAATGTATCAGAAGACAATCCACTTGAAGTAAACAAGTTTGTTGTGGTTATAAAAAACAATGTATGTCATCCCCTGTTTCAAATATGAAGCTGCCGACTCTGATCATTTAATGTACTCTTGATTCGTTTTAGATGCTTTTTTTGGGTAAGATCTGTGCTCTCTACATTTACCAGAATGGTAAGCACGAGTGGATCACCAAATCGTCCACTCGATCTAAGCTCTCATATGCATCTACCCAGCTTTACATGTATAAAGGGAATCCTGGAGCGTGTAGTTTTGAAGAAAACTTTCCAAATCGCCTCATATTCTCGCATCTTGATATAGCAGATATTCACTATGTGTTTCCCCCCACCTCATCAATGAATATTACTGAACCCAAGGCTAACACCATATGGATTCCTCAAGCTTATCGTGCTATGTTAAAGGCTATGAGCCAGAAACAGTACATCAAGGCAATTCTTGAACAACTTGCTGTTGAACACGCTAAAGCTAGAAAAAAATAAGCTATACTTGAATTGTAATATCTAACTTGGTTTTTATTTCTCTCCACCTTATCTAGAGATTTGATTTTGTGTTATTTCTTCAAGTTGTTTCGCTTCATCTCTCCCAAATTCAAAAAAATACCAGTCTCTTTAGTCCCTTTTCTGAAACGTTTGACTGCTCTTTTTCTACTTCTTGATATTGAATTCTCAGACCCTGATCTCCCTCATGTGTAGAGATTCACTTTGATGTTTTTACCTGTTACAGCAGTGGACCGACTGCAGTGGCTGGCCAGGAACTGGAAACACAGTCCCTCCAGTGGCTGGCCAGGAATTGAATTACTCGTTTTTTTTAAAACTCAACTACATAACACTACATAGCTATACTACTCACTAGTCTATTTCTCTCTCAACAACTTCAACTCTTGTGATTCTTCTACCAAATTCCCAAAAAAATATACAAGTTTTTCCGGAAAAAAAATCAAGATGTCTAATTGCTCTGAAACGCCCAAAAACACAGATTTTGAGGGTCCTTATGCAGATGGAAGGAATATTGGGACCTTTCTCCGAAAAAAAAATGGTCCTTTGTCAACAGGTAGGAATCCGAGTTTTTTTTGTGAAAACCGGCGAAATTTGTGTAGGTAGGAGGGGAAAATTTCGGGATTTCCATTAGGAGGGTATATCGGGGCTTTCCAGGGTCCTGTAAACTCCTATGTGAACAAAGATGACTTCAAGACAACGTGGGATAACTTTTCAAGAGTATATTCATTCATTGCAAACTCAGAGCACAAACTTCTAATAGCATTGTTTGACTGGCTAAAAGAATATAGACAAATTCCAACAAGGCCTGATCAATGGCCATACCTATTAATTATGAATTTCAAAGGAAAGATGTACATAGATTTATTTATTTACTTTGGAGGAGTCGCAGGTTGTGGAAGCTTTGGAGGTCCAGCAGACGCATGGAAGGATTTAATTAAAGCAGAATTTAAACTCGAAGAAGCATTCAGGTGGGTAGATGATAATCTGCTCATAAAACAATCAGATTCAACAGTACACATGGATGAGATAGTCAAATATAGCTCTAGCTTAGGAGTAAAAACAAACAAAACGAAATTTTCACATTTCAGCAAGGCTGGCTCAGCAGCGCAGCTGCAGCGGGTAGCGCTGCTGAGCTTTGGTACTCATTTGCCAATTATGTTGGTACCGGGGCCTAAGCTACGGTACCCAAACAGAGCCTTGGCGGGTGCCGGGTCAAAGTTCCGCTTCCCGGTTTGAGGATGGCCGGTAACGGGAGCAGAGCTACGTTTTGGTTAATACTACTCAGCCACCAATTCCACCTTCGCTTCCCACTCCCGATTGGAAGTTGGACCTCCACCTTGACGCCCACCTATAGTAAGAACAAACCAACTCAAACCGCACGGCCAATGACCACATCTTCAAGATCTTATGGAAGCCTCTTAGATTTGATGAATTTATTAATCGGCTCACCATGTGGTGTTTATGTATTTGATAGGAATCAACGGAAGTTGAAGACATTCCATTGGAAGACCTAGTTGAGTATATATTCTCTTTTCTGGATCGTTTTCTTTTTTGATCCATTGTCCCAGAACAATCTTGCAACTGACTTAAGTTGAATATCTATCCCATACTATTTTATAACATTTCCCCTTATACTCAATTTCCACCAACATCCACTACTATACTCGTTCATATCTTCTTGATAAATTTCCGTTTAAAATCATCGTAACCAATCAATGGCACCAAGTTCAACCCAAAGCACTCTGCGATTCTACTCAGGCTATGAGACTGACGACAACGCTCCCCGTCGATCTGGATGCATCACCACACCTGCTCGTCTAGGGCCTGGTATGATATGTCCTCCATCCGACAGCCGACAAGCCGTTCCGAGTTCTTCTTTCACTTTCTCTGTTAGTAATCAGAAAAATCCAACCATGACGGCTCAGAGTAAGGGAAAAGGCAAACGTGCCCGATCTGAATCACTTCCTGGGTCTGTCATCGAGTCAGAAGTTGACACAGACCCACCCGAGATCATTAGTGGACCAGCGCAACGCAAAACGATACCAGCTTCACGCCAAAAAGGATCCGGAGGTTTAACTCAAGCAAGGTCAAAGGCAGCCTCCAAGACTTCAAAGAAGTCAGCTGCCTCTCAGCGTAAAGATGCCGAAGCCGAGAAGAACTTGGTAAGCTTCATTTTACTTTCAATTCAATCTTTTTCTCTATCTATATCTATATCTAAGTCTTATATTTGCCTTTTCTAACATCATCACCATGTTTTAGGTGTTGGCTGCTGAAGCTGGAGTTGCACCCAATCTCAATCAAGATTCTGATGAAGAAAACGAGCAAGTTTGCAAGCGACTACGTCGGTCAAATGAGAAAGACGAGGATGAATTCAACCCACCAGTCCTATTCTACGGGAAACCCTTCCGTCGAGAGAACGATGTAAGTGGTATTTCGTCTCAATTTTGCCTGAAAACTACATATATACTCATTCTTCTTTGATATATTATGATTCAGGATGCATCGGGTCCTCCTTTGACACTGCAGTGCAAGTGGTGTCAAAAGGAGGTTCGTATCAGTGGAAGCTCAAAGTCAAATCTTCAATCCCACCGTGATGGATCGAGTCAGGCCGGTAAAAACAATCAAGGTTGCCCAAGACGGATGCAAGCAATACGAGCCGGTGCCAAACTCCCACCAACTGTAGCTGATATCAAAGCCAGTAAGATTCGCGATCAACACGCTGCCTCAATGGACAACTTCCTTCTTCCGGTCCCTGAGTTCGACAGCCAAGTGGTAAATCAGATGGTAAGTTTGTGGCAAATCACAAACAGCCTACCATGGTCCATCATCGAACACCCTATGTTACGGGCTATTCTGTTGTATCTCCGACCGGGTATCCAAATATACAAACAAAAATGAACAGCTGATGAGGCAAAGCGTCTCCATGTTGGGCTTTGTGACAATGTCATGAAAGAGCTTAAAGTGAGATGTTTGTTCTTTAGTTCGATTTTTGAATTTTGATAACTATATCTTGTTTCTCAAGCTGATCATGCTTCTATCTCTCAAATAGTCCCTCACCAGCATGTTCAACTTGATCCAAGATGTATGGACAGTATCTCGCAATTGTCACGCCTTTATTGGAGCGTTAGTTTCCTACGTCGACAAGGACTGGAATTTTGTGGTCCGCCATCTCTGTCTTAAACTCGTCGCCTGGCATCATAAAGGGGAATGGCTGGCTGCACCGATTGCGACTGTTCTCAAAAAGCACGATTTGTGCTCTAAGATAAGTCTTTAACATCATTTTCTGTATTTCCTTACTATCGTTCTCATACTATCAACAATGCTAACCTTTTTTTCATCTTAGCACATGATAGCAATGACGACTGACTCTGGTGCCAACAATTGGACGTTGGCAAATGAATTGCAACGACAATCGATCACACACGACCCCATGTCGCATTTGAAGGCGAAGACAATGCATATCTTTTGCATTTGTCACAAGACTGGACTGATAGTCCACGCTGGACTGGAAGCCCTCGGAATTCCACCCAAACTTCATCGACATGCGACCCTTGCGAACTTTCCCAATGTTGATGCGATGGAAGCTGTTGCTGAAGAAGATGAAACAGTGGTTCTTGATGTCGAGAACCCTAGTGGTTCAACCCTTGAAAATCATGAAGAAGATGATGATGAACACAATCTTGGCCGTCTTCTTGATTCAGAAGATGAGGATGAATCTGAACCTAATCAACCTGAATGTGTTGTTGAGGACAATGAGGATGCAGAAGACCCCGATCCGCCTCAAGTGACTGCTGGACGTGCCAAGAAGGGGCTACCTCGTACTCGTATGGCTAGGCTCATAAGAAATGTATGTATATCATTACTTTCATGGTTTTCCTTTCACACTTGGATCACAAGAGCTAACATTCATTGGGTCGATAGCTGAACATAGTCAATAAAAAGCTCACTCGGTCAGCTGCTTGGAGAGAAGATTTTAATCGCCGCCGTGCCGCTGCAAACAAGAAGATTAAAGATCAGAAAGACGGCCCACCTCTTCTTGCACTCCTAGCCGAGTATGGAATCAGGTGGAATATAGAGCTTGATCGCTGGGAGCGTATGTATGCTCCACGGGATGTGAGTACCTCTTTTTCTATATCTCTCTTTGCTTCAATTCATTACATCATCTGATACTTTTCTCTCAAAGATCATTGATGAGATGATGAAAGAGGACTTGGCCAAGGTTCATTCGAAGAAGCGTTGACCACCAAAAAATGGAGGAAAGTTAGGATACTTTGACGAACTAATATTCACAGTAGGTGATTGGGAGGCTCTTCAGGAAGTCATTCAAGAACTTATTGTGAGCTCGATCAATCTTTTACTCACTTTTACTCATCAATTGTTTCTCTTTAATCTAATAATATCTTGTTGAAATTCAGCCATTACGAACATTGTGTCGGCGGATGGAGGGAGACAGCCCTACTGGTTGTATGGTCCTGCACGAGTATGCTGAACTCCGGTCTTCTCTGGACGATCGTCTCAAGTCGACTTGTGAAGATGATCCTATGTACCCAATGATCGAGGAAATGCTTCGACGGACTTCGATCTACATGGATGAAGCCGGGTCGTGCGACTCGCTTGTTTTGGCTACTGTGTTTCACCCAAGCTTCAGGCTGGGCTTCTTTGATTTGACTTATGAAGAGGGATCAGGTATGAAAGAACGAGCTGAAGAGCTTTTATGGTCTCGATTCAGCACCTGTCAAGAAGAAATCACCCTTCAGTCTGCTCGTTTGGAATCCAGTAATGACGAAGTCATTGTAGTATCAGTGCAATCGGTCAAGAAGAAGGTTCCAAAGGTATTCAACCTCTACAAACGTGCAAATACTTCAAGTGATCTGGGTGAATTAGATTGTTACCTTCAAGGATTGGACCCTTTGAACTGTGAAGATCCAGAGGAGCTGTTGAATCCACAATGTGCTTTGGATTGGTGGCGAGTAAGTCTCTTTTTTCTATATACTGTTCATAGGCAGGATACTGATATGACTGGGATATTCTTGTACACAAAGGAGCATGGGATCAAGTACCCGGTTTTTTCATCTCTAGCTTGAGATTACCTCAGCATTACTGCCTCATCAGCCCCTGGAGAACGACTTTTCACTGTGGCTGGGCAAGTCTGTTCTGCAAACCGAGCCTCAATGCTTCCTCAAACGATTGAGACATCCGTTGGCAGCCAAATGTGGAAGAGGCAAGGTGTACCTCTACCTCGATCATTCAGCAAGGTGGAAAAAGTAATTAATTACATAGGCAAGACAAAGAGCGGCAAAGGTATCGAAACCTTAGACAATGACACTTTGTAGTCTCGACTCTCACAATATGAGCCGATTCGATTTTTTCTCCTTTTTCTTTCTCTTATAATTCTTTAAGCCTATGCCCTGTCTTTTTCTATTTTTTATTGTATATGCCTATGCCTATGCCCTGCTTATGATAACTTGTATGCCCTCATGGATGTTTTGAAGCTCAGTTCGTCAGTTTTTCCAATTTATTGGCATGCAGCCCTTTTTGCACGCTATCTGTCGTTTCCACCGCCTCGTTGCGGTTTTTTTCATCACAGTGCCGTTTCGCTTCCAAAAAATTTGCGAGTGAATTTTACGTAGCCCGCCCCGCTCTCACCTGACTTTGGGCTCTGGTAACGTGCGCTAAAGTTACTGGGATGGTGTGAGATTGAAACTTGCTACGCTACCAAAAAAGCTGAAAAAAGCTTTGCGTAGCGTAGCGAGCCACCTTTGATTTCAGCGATCAACAAAAATACATAGGTTTTCTGTGGAATAAGAAAAACAAGACCGTAGAACTACCAAAAGGAAAATTAGAGCAAAGAACAGAGCAATTAGAATCCTTCTTGAAGAAAGTAGATTACACGCATAAGGAGGTTCAAAAGATGAATGGCCGACTCAACCACGTAGCTTACATTGCTCCACACATGAGATGCTACTTATCAAACAACTATCGATGGCTAGCAGAGTGGGTAAACATAGCAGCCAAAAGAAAAATGCCGATAGCGGTTTGCGAAGACATGAATGTATGGAGAGATGTGTTAAAGGAGATCCCTCGTAGACACCTTCTAAAAACAAGGCCAATCAACAATATTGGCTGGGTAGGTGATGCCTCGACGACGTTCGGTATAGGCGTAATAGTAGGGAAGAACTGGGGGCAGTTCAGACTTAAGACAGGATGGGAAGACCCTCCCAATAAACCAAGGAGAGGAATTGCATGGTTAGAAACTGTGGCAGTCCGCCTAGGACTAACCATAGTAAAGAAATTGAAAGACGTAAAAGAAGAGAGATTGCTAGTACTGACTGACAATACGACTACCAAAGGAGTGCTATGAAAAGAAAGATCAAGAGATTATTGGGTAAATGAAGAGTGGAAGAAAATTTCCGAACTCCTTTTCCAATACGACGTTCAGTTAGAGCAAAGAAGGGTGACGTCAGTTGATAACGCGGCAGACAAGTTATCTCACGGCATACCCTTGTCAAAGGAATGGTTCAGGCAGGTACACATAGAAGTCCCAGATGACTTAAAAATGTGGTTAGAAGACGTGACGATTGATCAAGTAGAAGAAAAAGACATAGTAAGTTTATACGACTGACAAGAGAAGCAATAATGATCGCATAGAGACTAATCGGGCCAATTGTCAGACAGGAGTAGGAAAGATCCAAATGGGTCAGAGGTATTCCCAGTGCGACATATGATTCACAGCTCATGGGAATAGAAGGTTCTCACCAAGAACAATGAGAGAAGTAAGTGCTTGATACGATGTGGTGCGCAGATCGTGGTATCAATCAAAAGAAATCAAAATTTAAATTATTGATAATCATTATTGAGCAGGAGTTATTATTACATATTAATTACATCATAACTTTGCAATCTAACATATATTAAATCAATTTTCATTTAATTTTATTGTTATCAATTTTTATATATTTCATTTTAAAAGTCAAAACCCAATTTTTTATTATAGTACACATAGTTTTAGATTTGACATTCAATGTTTCATGGTTTAATTCAAACAACTCATAAGAAAGATATACAAACAAACAAATCTCAAGACAGAAGCTCTTTCTATATATGAAAACCCTATTTTATTTTTTGAAACACTTATTTCACTTTTAGTTTTAGTTTTATTTTTATTCATTTGAACAAACAAAAGCAAAGAAAAAACTAAGAAAAAATGGAAACATTTATTAGAAGAGATGTTTATTAAGTACAAATTAATATTCAATTGAATGAGAAGAAAGAGAAACAAGTGAAAATGAAAACTTGATTACATATGATTGATTGTGTTTGATCATTGTGTTAGTTAGTTAGGATGTTTGAGGATAGTATTCAAAAGTAAAGATGAGATGAGATGACTTACAGATTGATGAAGTGAAGAGTGTTGGAAGGAAAGATCGAGATCGAGATCGATCGAGCGAAAACGAGACAGCGAGGTAAAGAGGAAGTGAAGATGTATTATGGGATATGTGGTGTCTGTACCAGTGTGAATTATGGGTTGTTACAGGTCGAAATTTTCGATTTTCGATTTTTGGATTAAGGAAGATGGTTATGAGCTCAAACAACCATGATTGATAATCAAGCTGATGGAATCAAATGAAAAGGGTAGATGGATTAGTCATTGAAGATCAAAAACACATCCTTTCATCATCCATACACAGCATCATCATCTTAGAATCAATTGGTAATCAAAAAGACTCTTTTATTATTAGAAATGTGTGTAGATAAGGCATTATATATGAAGATTGACCATAAGAAGACGCATCATTATTAGTAAAGTGTTCATAAAGGCTTGGAGACGAAAATATAAATGAGTTAAAGAAGTTATAGTAGCTGTTTACCATTCAACAAATCACAAATTGATCCCAAGAAAAGCTTGGCAGTAGCAATTAGTCATCTTTGCTGGGTAAATGATTGAAGAATCACTTGTAGAAGATCTATTGATCACATTACATCATACTACATATTTGTACTAGCTAAAATGGCCCAAAATGGCGAATTTGGGAAGTGTAGAAGATCATTGAATCATTGCATCATAGCTGTTTACCAACTTTTTAGTCATCTTTTTGGTTTTTGAAAGCTGTTTACCATTATTAATTTGTAAAATCAGGTATATAAGTCTTGGTCTTTGTCCCACTTTTGTATTTTCCTTTTCTTCTTCATCTATGATAAAGTGTAGTAGTTTTTTTATCATTATAAGAATCACTACACAGTCCTAGTTCACTTAAACTGCCCTTATTTATTAATAAGAGAATTTATTTTATTGGTCTTATAAGCTAAAAGCTTCATTTGGAATAACACTTTTGTGTTGAGTTAATTTCTCTGGTGCCTTATTATCAAAATACTTTTCTCTATTATCAAATTCCTGGTTATTTTTCCCTGTTATCAGGAGACTTTAACAACAAAGTCCAGTTTGTTAAAGATTCACAGAAAGAGCAGTCACAGACACCTTCTGTAAAGTTATTATATTTGCAGATTATCCTCTTTCAAAGCACTGTATAGCCCTTGTTGTGCTATTAGTACTACATTTGGTGACTCCACTGGGGCCTTATTTTCATAATTAGGTCAACAGCTCTCTATTAGGATCCCACTATTTTGAGCCCGCGAATCAGAACCCGTAGCCCGATACCGGGGCCGGACATCGGGCGGCGAACATATGGTAGCCCGGTTTTAAAAAAACAGGCAAAAAAAAGGGCTGCACTTCATAAAATTTCCAAAAGCTCTGCGACAGACACGTGAGTCCCTGGATCTCACACAGCCAAGCACAGTATGGCATAAACATATAACAGATGGCATTATAGCATAGTAGTAACATACCATACATAACAAACATAACATAAGTTTTGCATAAATCGAGAGGTCATACATGGAAGGAGTCATAGTCATACAAACATATTTGAGGTCGAGAGTGTTGAAAGGAGGGAGTACATAGGAGCGGATTGGGTTTACATACACCAAAGAAATAGAGGAACAGAAAATGTAACAAAGAAATGAAAAAGTATAGAAGCGCACAAAAAACTAAGCAGAAGTTGACCCCACTAACCCATCACGCCTTGCCCACCAACCCATTTGAACTTGATACTTTCTAATCCACTCCGGTATGTGGGAAACAGTGGCTGAGTGAGTCTGGTTGAAAACTTCAGGAAAAGGCACTAATCTGGGCCCACAACCGAAGGTGACAAAGTGATCACCATTGACAAACCCCAGGATTATAGGATCATTGTTGTTTGGTATTGTGCAATATGGGAAAAATGTGTATGAATTGACCTCAAGGGGATCAAAACAGATGACTGGTCGATCGTAAGCGCTTGCGATGACAAAGCCAAGGTAGGGCATTCGCATCCAGAAGTCCTGGTCGCATATCGGTCCCTGGGGTTGAAGTCGAACAAGCAGATCCTCGACAATTTCGGTGGAGTAAGGTTTTGTTTGCCGGGTTCTCATTCGAGGCTTGCTGCTCTGGTTAGTTGCAAGTAACTGTTCATGTTCTTTCTTGTAAAAAGTAAGCTCCTCGAGCAATTGATGCCGAATCAAAACATATAATTCTTCGCTGTATAAGTTGAGCGCTTGGGCAATGGCATAGTAGCCACAGTTGCCATAAGACGGTGGATTAAAGAGTGATTTGATGTAAGGAATTATGAAAGCGGGAAGTTGTTTCAATATAACTTGTTCTTCAGGTTTGACTAGAGCACATTTTTGCAATTGAATAGACGATTTGTGACTTGCACCACTCACCGTGGGTTTCTTGACCTTTGTTTCTTTCACTACTACTGGTTTTTGACTTGAATTGGTCGGCTCTGAAGATTGAAGTGGAAATACAGCTGAGCCAAATTCCCGACTGTCTTCCAGCGTGGCTTGTACCTGTGGGCTCCGGCGATCCAAGTTGAGATTGGTGGCAATCAAGCAAAGACTCAACTCCGGAATGAGCACCTGTCGCAGGTAGAAATTGGGGGTGAGAGGTGAGGCCTTCTTGGCATCAAGATGGTTATAAGAAGAGGGGTCATCCCGGAAAATGGACTCCAGTGTTCGAACGATGATCTCAAACCCTTGATACCCGTAACTGAAACAATCACTCCTTCAGTAACCGCAAGAAGTGTAATCAAGTTATACATCAGTTTTACTTACTACCCAGGTAGTTCAACCTCAAAGTTGTCTAAATCAGCCAAAATACGCTTGCCATTGGTCTTCAGATTGATCTTCGCATCCTCAAGGTAGGTTGAACCGTCCAATTTGTTAACAATTTTGCTGAGAACCGCTGTATGTCCCTTGATACGACTACAATCATAACAATCATAAGCTTGGTTATGATTTGGTATGTATGATGAAGTAAACTTACTCTTCTAATCGTTCAAAATCAATCTCAGTGGGCCATCCCTTGCTAATTCCAATAGGAATGATGTTGGTTTCGGTTTGATGTAGGTGGCAAAAGTCTGCAGTTTGCATGAACTGTACTCAAAAGAAGTTAAAGGAAGTTTGTTAATTACTAAATCAAATGAAGCAAATTAAGCGAATTGACTTACAGGAAGAGACCTAGCTCCCAAACGACCAATTCCCTGCCGGCATTCTGGCATTGCTAACAGTTCGGCCTTCAGACTGAGGAGTTTCGTGGATGGTTGATCTGGAAGT